CCAGCCTTTGGCCGCCTCCTCGGGTTCTTATAGAGAGAAGGGGCTTTGGGTGACAGGCAGGACTCTGTTCCTAAGAAACCTCAGTAACTTTCAATTCCTCTTTATTAATTTTTTTATGGGACAGGGAGGGTAAGGAAACAAAATATAATGCTAGATCTATTTCTATAGCTTCCTTTTACATGGTGGAAAACTTTGATCTAAAAAAAAAAAAATTGTTTTGTTTTTTCGTGATGGGGGAGGGGTGCCGATACAGTTCCTCGCCAAGGGCGCTGGAGACCCTAGGTACGCCTCTGTTCATACTTGGTGTCCCTGCCAGGCTACTACTCCTTCCGTAATGCTGACTATCCTCAGGGGTGTGGTACAGGAGAGAGCTAGGATGTAATGTCACTTTCTATCCCCCCCAACTTTCTCAGAGCACCACGCACGGGGACTAAAGAGGAGACCTTGCTAGAACAATATGACTACTGCCAGGTCTCATTCACAGTGGGGAGCAACTTACAGTTGTCATAGGTTGCAGGGGTCCTCCGTGTCATCGGGGACCCCGCAACGTATCGCTGCAATAAAAATCTGTCACAACTACTCAGAGCGGCAGGGCCCCTGACTGCCTTGGGCAATCACTGATGTGCCCAAGTGGTCAGTCTGTCTGTGCATTGAGATGATGTAATCTGGGAGATTTAGTTATCCTTTAATGTTACTTGTTAAGAAAAAGCACAATCCCTCCAACCTTTGTCTCATGATTACTAACTATAGTTAGATGGTGAATCTGTCTGGTAGGGGCATATTTAAAAATTAGCAGAGTGGTATTTAACAGACTTAGGTGGCACGCACTGTGCTAAAAAGGTAAAACTTGGTAAATACCCTGCAAACTTTCTGTATTAGTGGTACCCAGCAGCATCCGTCAACACAATAGGGGGTTGTTTATTAAAAAAAAAAAAAAAAATAGGGTAAAAAAGCATTACAGTAGGAACATTACAATGGTTGTTGTGGTATTTGCTCCACGTTTAGAACTTAGAAATGTTTGCATCTCCTGGGCTTTGATCTACAAAGATAATCTCCCCCCCCCCCGCCCCCCACTGTCATCCAGTGCTTTTATTGGACCTTGTGCGTCAGAACAAAGTCTGCAACGCCAGAGCTGTCTCAGCCCCCCCCTGCAAACAAACATTTTATTAAACTTTTCAAAGCTCTGGATTAATGTAACAGCTGGGAGTAGCTGGAGCTATTTGTTTTATAAGTCTGTCTGGGCTGGGAAGCAGCCCACATTTACTGTCACTTGGGTACACCAGTGTTACAAATTTATCAGGCACAATTATCCTATTTTCTACTCCTTACTAATAACCCCCATTATTACCTTATCTATCAGCTCATGAGGGGGCCAAACATGACAGCAATGTAGAGGTGCCGTTTAACCAATTAAGAAATTAAGCTAGGGGCTGGACAGACTCCAGTGAATATGCCTTTCTGCGGATTTCTTCATAAGCACCAAATTGAGGTGAGTTACAGAGTTTATTTGGTCGATCTGTTTTTATTGAGAGGTATACAGAGATTAGACTGCCAAATTTGCTTAGGAAGCATTTGACTAATAAGCTGCAGCCAATATTCCTTGCTCAACATGCATAGAAGACAAATAACTCCTTTTAAAATAAGATTTAATTAAATGGTATACAGAGATTTTACAGCCAGTTTTATAAGGATATCATCACACATATAAACAGTTGCTGTGATATACTTGATGGCTCAGCATGTAATAAACACAATTACCACATTTAAAAATGAACTAAAGAAAGATAGATGGGTACCACTGGAAGGTAGATTTAAAAAACCTCACATATCCAGTGCAAAGGGTAAATAGCACATATAAAATTAATCAACACCATGCTTATGGTCCTGTACTATTTGAAATCATCGGATTCCCAAAATAGCGAGACTATTCCCAAATAGAAGCACGGTCTCAATTGTCCAGAACAGTCCACTCCACCCACCCCAGGCTTTAACAAGAACACATATGCATTGCTCTCTGATCTGATTTTTGGCGTCTAAATGGATCTGGACATGAGATGGCATTGGCTATAGACCCTCTAAGGATGTGAAAAGTCCCTTCAAGGCCCGCAACCCAGGTATGCGTCAATAGGCAATGGACAACTCAGTGATACGGTATTCCTCCATGGTCTCCTAGGGCTTTTCATTACAGAAACTTTCATCTGGGTAGAACCAGTCATGGGAGACCCAGGGCCGGCGCGTCCATAAGGCAGCACAGGCACCTCTCCTGCCGGTCACTTCTTGTAGCGTGGCCGAGCACCAACCAGCAGTGCTGCGGACTGTGTGGATGGGCGGCGATATGAACACGTCATATCTCTGCTCCCTCTGTAGCGCACAGCGTCGCTGGCAGCCAGCAGGGGCGGAGCTATCACTGGCCCCTTTCTTATCAGATGGAGGAAGTGATGTCCTCCCAAGAAGACTGAAACAGGAGAAGACCGAGAGGAGTGCTGGGCAGGGCCAGCACCTTAAACTCCCAGTTACCTCAGGCAGCACTCTGGATCCCAGGTAAGCCACCCTCCTGAACCCACAAAGTAGGAAACAGGAGGGTGGCTAGAAAAATGTCGGTCAGTGTGTTTGTGTGTGTATGTATGTCGGTCAGTGTTTGTGTCTATCTGTATGTCTGTCTATCTGAATGTGTATCAGTTTGTGTATATTTGTATCTGTGTATATGCATGTGTGTCAGTGTGTGTATATTTGTATCTGCGTGTGTGTAGCAGTGTATGTGTATATATGCATACATCTCAGCATTCAAACGCCAACACTACACACAAATACACACCTGCATGCAAACGTCAACACTACAAACACATCTGTATCAGACCCAAAAATTATATATAAATATACCCCTGCATTCAAAAACTAACACTTCACATAATTGCATGCTTGCATTCAAACGCAAACACTACATACAAATACACCGCTACATTTACACAAACATACTCCATACATATACTGCTCAGTGCTAAAAACAATCCTGCAAGCATGGGGAATCGGTAGAGCCCCAGCTTTCAAAGCATTGTTAAAGTTGCACGACAGATGGGGATCTATCTTTTAGCCACCCTGTGTACATACACAGACATACATACACAGACAGTTATACAGAGACGTACAGACGTAAACGTAGGTAACACTCCAATAGTAAGGATGGTATATTTATTGATAAGTGAACCACCCCATAGAAAGTGCGATGTTTCGGCTCAGCAGAGCCTTATTGCATGATTAATTATTGCATGAAATGTTTGCGTATTTATGTCTCTGTATGCCTTGTCTGTATGTCTCTTTATGACTGTCTGCTTATGAATGTCTCTGTATCTGTGTATTTATGTCTCTATATTCCTATCTGTTTCTTTATGTCTGTGTCTGTATTTCTCTGTGTGCCTGTCTGTATGAATGTATGACAGTGTACCTGTATGTGTAGATTTTATGACTGTTTGATTGTGTGCCTTTTATGACTGTGTGTCTGTATATTTTTGTGACTGTGTGCCTGAATGTCTGTCTTTGTGTCTGTGTGTTTGTATGTCTGTATGTTTGTGCATATATATATATTTTGCCTGTATCTATGGCTATATGGGAGAAAAAGAGACAGTAGGGGCTGGCAGGGAAGTAAGAAATACATAAAAGGGGTTGTAGGAGACGCACTAAAGTGGGGTGTAAGGCACAAAGGGCCCAAATGTATAAGACCTTCAAAAGAGTGGATATGGAACACTAATAGGGGTAAGAAATTCAAAAGGCGGGCTACGAGACACACAGGTGAAGATGCATCTTCACCTTTGTAGTCAAAAATCCTTGCACCGGCCCAGGGGACACCATAAGCTGTGTTCTGGGGCATTGCTATCTGCGGTTTAGGATCGGCCAAAAATCGTCAAACTTGTCCAGCCGAGCCATACTTAATTCTGGCAGGCCCTGGGTAGTGTGATATCTGCCATCTTAGAGTGAACAATGCTCAAGGCCACGTGTTAACTGTAGCTCACTGGTGTGCAGGTTCTCCCAAGCTTACAGTGTCTGTTTTCGCAAGCAAATAACAGCAAAATACTGAGCTTATTCATGGAGCTCACTTGAGATGCGACTGATCTGCATGGAAGTCAGGCCCTGCCCCCCTCGGTTACAGAATTTAAGCAAAAAATATCCACGCTGTAACTATAGTGGAGTTGGAGAATTCTTCTAAAACAGCATCTTTTTTGGATAAAAAAAAAAAAAAGTTTGTGATCTAATGAATAAACCTCACAGTATAAATCTGCAAGTAGAATCGTATTCTTCTCCTTTCCAACCAGATTTGACCGATCCATGCTTATTTCAGTTGCAATTTTATATCCCATTAGTGTGAGCAGCCTGGTGTAGATTTACAAAATGTTCCTGCATTATTTATAGAATGTTTGTGTTTTATTCACTAAACTGTATTTTAAGAAACAAATTGCATAATAGTGAATGCAATAGACAGGTTCCAACCTTGTTAGTTCTTTTTGCCAGATTGTTTAATATTGTAGAGAATTTATTTTTATTTTTTGTTTTGTTAGTTAGTGAAAAAAGAACAGCCCTAGCAGTTGTGTAACTACAATTCCCATCATGCTTTACAGTGCCTGCTGCTAAGAATTGTCATTTGGATACTAGTGTCTTTATGCTTTGACAGAATAGATGAATGCAGGATATCCTAGAACAGGGATAGGCAACCTCCGGCACTCCAGATGTTTTGGACTACACCTTACATGATGCTTTGCCAGCATTATGGCTGTAAGAGAATTGTGGGAGATGTAGTCCACAACATCTGTAGTGCTGAAGGTTGCCAACCCCTGTCTTCAGCAGCTGGATAGCTACTGGTTACCTGGCCCTAGGCTAATATGAGGCTGTCTCTGTACCCTGTGTCATATTTACAATGTTATGCCCAATTTTGCATTAAGATGTACTGAGCAGACACACCCTCGTGCAGTGTTACATTGTTACACTCATAAGTACATACCATACAGCATGTCATGGCCAGCAGCTGTCTCTTATCTCCATGGCAACTCTGGGCTGGGATTCTAATCCCTCCCACAAGTTAAAAGCAGGAAATAGGACTAGCCTGCCTTGGGTGACATGGACAGGGAGGGACAGGCAGGAATAAGAGACACACTGGGACAAACCCTGGCAGATGGGCTCAGGTATTGACAGCAAAGTGCAAGCCAAGGACTGACACAGGCTGAGCCAGCAGGATTGCCAGGGGCTGGGATCCAGGCACCCACTGCCTTAGAAGAGGAGGCCACAAACTGGCAGCTTGGGTAAAGTCAAAAACTCAGTACACAGAGGGATTGTCTGGATCCAGCTGTCTGCAGACCTGGGAGCAGCCTGTCAGCAGGTAGGAAACTGTGCTGTGTGTATCAATCCCCTGCCATTTACATTTACTATTTTGTCTTCTGTTTACCTCTCCCAGGGTGCTATGCATGTGTGCCTAGTGTATTTGTATTTGATTTGGGTCACGAGATGAGACACATTCTAAATGTTCTGGTGGATGCAATGCCTCACCTCCCAGAACAGGAGGTTAAAGAAAAATAATACTAACGTATAGCAAACATTGGGCAGTCTCTACTCCTATTATGTTCAGCCAGAAGCTGCCGTGACCAATAACTAGCCTATTTTTCTGGCCCAGCCTGGTAAGTGCGTATATAAACAGCAGGTTATCTGATGGATTATTGGTTTTTATAGGACTCAAGCAGTGAGTTCCCCTGGCACAGTGGGACACAGCTGTAGCTGGTTAAATAATGCTACCTGTTACGTGTGCATGGCTGCTGCCCACCCCCAACCACTCTCATCCATCTGCTTAGAATTCGATTGAAATGTAATAAGGGTTGATAAATAATTGGTTTACGCCACACAGATGAATCATGGTGACTCCAGACTCACTGTCCCTCGCCCCAGGCTGCGTGTGTCTGTTCTTTGTTTGCAATAATTAGCTATAAGTGGAAACATCAATGATAGCAGCGCCCTTATTATATATAGAAAGTAGAACCACATCACCTTTCCTCCACCATTGTGTGATGTCAAAGTCAGATATGTTGATTATTTTTTGTTTTTGCTCAGCAAGTATGTTCCAACAACCATGTCTCACAATGCATAGCCACTGTAATATTTTGTTGCAGTGAGCTAATGCAGTTTGCATCTGGATAGAACTGAATTGTGATGTTATTTGCTACCTTTTTGATAAATATTTAAACGGACACTATAGGCACCCAGACCACTTTATCTCATGTCCCCGTCTCCATAGTCCTGCAAAGTAAAACAATAATTTCCTTGCTGGACTAAGACCGCCTTTAGTGACTGTCTATCAAACAGCCACTAGAGGCACTTCCTGGATTCTAGCATACTCTGAGTCCCTTAAAATATGCTGGATGTCATGAGTATTCCTCTGCATCTATGGGTCACTTTCTCTGCTTGAGGAAATCACTTTCTTATTGTTCATCCACACAGGGGTATAGGAGGATTTCACCTTAGCCATTTGGGTCTGGCAAATTGACACAGGCTCATTGTTATAATGGTGAGAGATCAAATGTATTTTTTGGAAGGTTATTCTACAGTTCAACAAAATAGGGGTAGCATTCTTCAACTTAAAGGGAAAGAAAATAAAATAAAAAGAAGAAAAAAAAAAAACTATTGTAAAGATATATATTGTACCCATAAAACCAGAACAGACAGAGTAATATTTTCTCAACCATTCTCTAAGTGTCTTGATAGCACTAGGTAATTCAGGCTTTACGGAGCCTGGAGAATGCCATCTTGCAATAAAATTTTTTTGTAAAAAATCACATAGCATTTCATTTTGTGATAAGGTTTTGTGTTAAAGTTTTCTCTTTATGAGAAAGATACAAATATGAAGTGATCGCGGTGTCTATCCACACAGCAAACTATCTATACATAAATCAGTTTTGTGAATTGGAAAAGAAAAAAAAAAAGTTTTCTAAGTTCACATACATGTACATAACCAGTCGGTCTCACTCACACAATCAGTTATCCCTGCAGCACAACATAGAATTCCAAGGAGGCTTAAAGGGTGAGCTACACAGTCCGCCTCCGCAAGGCACTTGCTGAGAAGATTCGAAACCCTGTAACCAACTTTGTCATAAATTCTCATTTATGATGAATATTTCATTTATCTCTTAGTTGTGAATTACAGATGTTGGAAACAGTCTATCCATTAAAGGACCACTATAGGCACCCAGACCACTTCAGCTCAATGACGTGGTCTGGGTGCCAGGTCCATCTAGGATTAACCCTGCCTGCGGAAACTGCTATGTTTACATATGGGTTAATCCAACCTCTAGTGGCTGTCTCATTGACAGCTGCTAGAGGCGCTTCACTGTGATTTTCACAGTGAGAAGAAGCCAGTGTCACTGGCTGAATGCGCGCGCAGCTCTTGCCACGCATGCGCATTCAGCCAATGACATCAGAAGAGGGAGGAGAGTCCCCCAGCGCCGAGGGAGCCCGGCGCTGGAGAAAGGTGAGTGTTTTAACCCCCTTCCTCACCCTTCAGCCCGGCGGGAGTGGGACCCTGAGGGTGGGGGCACCCTCAGGGCACTATAGTGCCAGGAAAACAAGTTTGTTTTCCTGGCACTATAGTGGTTCTTTAATAACACATACTTTGTAATATACGCACGTTATATATGGTTTCAGGCACTTTATCTTTCCCATCACCCATGATGTAAATAATCCTGTTTTTCAGGCTCTTCCTTGTTCTTTGGTCTTTGACTGCCACTGGCAGTGACCTTTGCTTGTCATCACAATGGACGACTCTCCCCACCAGAACACTGGATGGATGCCATACTGGATTGCCCTGTCCCAAATCCTTGGGGTAGCAGCTTTAGCGGTGACCGGGACATGGCTGTCACATTACAGAGGGGGGTTTGCCTGGTCTGGAAATCTGCAGTTTAATGTCCACCCACTCTGCATGGTGTTGGGAATGGTGTTTTTGTGTGGAGATGGTAAGTACAACTGGCCAGGGAAGGAGGCTGGCAAATATATTGTTTGATAATATTATGTCTGTCTGGAATTACTGTAGTAGCTAGGTCTTGCCAATGTAATTACACTTGCTCCAGAAATGAGACTAAATGTTGCTGTAACAAGCACTTCTTCACCAGATTTGCACAATGTTCCCAACTGCTTCTTCAGCCTATGGAATCTTTTAAATGAAAATAGTGTGGGCAATATGTTTGAGAACCTGGGAAATGCTACCACTCTAAGGCCTACTCCCAAATGACCTCTTAATAAAAATCAAAACTTGTGTCTCTACATAGGTTGTTGAACAAAAATTTCCATTAAAAAAAAAAAAAAGTGTACCTAAAAAAAATACTTGAGGGCGCCTGACATCAGTGATATAAACAAAAAGTTATATCATTACCAATCTTGCTGCTAGAGTAGTTCGGCATAAACTCGTAAGCAGAATAAGGGAAAGAATACGATAATAGAGGAGTACACCTCTAGAAACACACTCACAAGGAGAGTGGTACAGCTCTGTAAGAAATGTGCAAAATCCACTGTGGCCAACACTTGGGATAGAGTACCACTAGAACACAGTTGTCGAAAAGGTTGTCCAATTCCTGGAGCCGCACAGGTCGCTACTCTCTAAGGCTCTGATCTCATTGGGTACCCTGTTGCTTGACTCGTTTTGTCCCATTTCCGTCTGGATTGCTTTAAGAGCTGGTTGATTGGTAATTCTATAACTCTTGATGTAGATCACTGGTGTCTGGTGCCTTTGAGGTTTTTTTTTTGTTTTTTTTTTAGGAGGCTCCTATTTTGGCACTTTTGTTCATGGAAGTGCTGGACAATAAGCCAGCTTGCTCTCTCCAATAGTGAAACCGAAAAGAGACTGACATATTTGTCAGGTTTTCCGATGCTTTCATGAAAGGTAATTCCTTCACAATGCAAAAACTAATTTTTCCGGGACCCACACAATATATCCCTGGAAAAAGATCAAAGAATCCACACCAGAGTTACAGCATGTTAAAGATTTGTGTGATAGCTTAGTCCATGTCTCCAAAAAGGGGTTCTCGGACCTCTACGGAGGCGCTCTCAAGCCCCTGGTATTCTCTGATGCCTCCACACCACCCTCCAAAAGTCCCTATCTGAAGAACAGTTCCAGGGTATCTCCCAGTAAGGTACTCGATATGTAAAGTGAGTCCAGGCGATCCCCAGAGATCTGTCTGGGAAGCACAGTAAGCATCCGGGCCCCCCATGCTCCACCCCACAGTGACAATAGCCCCTTTCAGGGGCTCTTGGGACCAGGCCCATTGTCTATGGGCAGAAGGCTGGCCTTCAAACCTCTTCAAAAGTGTGTGGCACAAGAGCTGCCATCACAGCAACTCCCTTCAAATGTTTGCAGAGTGTATTCTTCAGCAGAAAATTTACTCCTTGCAAGCAGATGCTAAGCCCAGTCAGGTCTAAAAAAAGGCTTATAATACTCAATAGAGAGCTCAAGGCCTGGGGTCAGAAATGGATAAATATTAGACCGGATGGAGCACTGTGCCAGGGGTTTGCATTGGGAATCTGCTATAACAAAATGTTTTTTCTGGTTTCTGATAAGGCAGCATTTTAAAATGTGATCAGTTTTCTGGTTTCCCGATGTGACATCCTGTTTTAATGTAGCATTAATTTTCAGAGTAGCGATTTGAGAAGAGTACATGGAGAATAGAAAGGGCTGAATAACGAAGTCTTTTTGACTGATACCGAGGTGTTGTTAAAGAACTGCGTAAGATACAAGATACGAGAAAGTGTACAAGTTATCACAGAAAAGCCCAAGCTACTGAATCTTGTATTTCATGTGACAGAAAGATGCCAACATCCCAAAACATTTGCAGAAACCCCATTGTCCCGACTCCATCAATCCTAGTTTAGTGAATAATCCCGATTGAGTGGCAAGGTTATAAAAAAAATTGGTATGAGCTGAAATAATCTAGGACCTCCTCAGAGGGTATTTGTTTTCATTGTATCCATGTTGAGGTTCATTCTTCTGACCTTCTATTCTGCGCAGTTTGTGGTCATGAATTAGTTACTGTGAGCAGCTTAGCTCCAGTTGCCAATTAAATAATATTAAATCACAGTGCCTGAGTCAGAGATGAGCCCTGCTCAATCTTATTAAGCAATTAAAATAATTTCTCTTTTATTATTAACCACGTCTCGGTTATAAACTGGATTAGCTTTATTCATGCTGTACGTCAAGCAAGGGAAAGATGTGCGAAGGAGGGGACATGATCTGGATTTGGTATTGTCATTTGTTGCAGGTTATGCCATCAGCTGACAGAAATATGAGGCATTAGACAAAAAAAAAAAATAATTACTGCATCCATTATCCCTAAATAATGCTGCTTAACTGTCACTTTATAAGGCGACTCGGTGGACACATCCTGTTCAGACACCTACCTCATCTAAGGTTTACTAATTGTTTAATTTGTTCTAATAATATTACTCCAGCAAGAAGGAATGTCGGAACGGTCCCTAAAGTGTATTTGTCATAGGATATGGGAATATTTATTTTGGACCACCCTGAGTACAAGTGGCATTATATATATATATATTGTTCCCTCATCCCCTGTTTCTTTCTTAAAGCACTCCTGGTGTATCGAGTTTTCAGAAATGAGACAAAAAAAGCAACCAAGATCCTTCACGGTGTCCTGCACATCCTTGCGCTGATAATCTCCTTAGTAGGTAGGTAGCTATGGCTTCCTTGTGATTTGGTGAGAAAGGGGTGAGTGGTTTACATTGATCTCCTGTGAGTGAAGCAGACTGATCAAACAACAGTTTTTGAGCTAAAGATCTTCCCTCTATTCCCCAGGAATCATTGCTGTATTTCAGTTCCACAAGTCAAGCGGGATTCCGGATATGTACAGCTTGCACAGCTGGTGTGGCATGGCGACATTCGTCTTCTACATCTTGCAGGTAAGATGCCGATTCTTTTTATTGCTAGCCCCCATGCCTCACTGTGTTTAATAATTCAGAAGTGTGAATGTATGCTCCTCTTACAGGACCTTTTTCAGAGATAAGTTTTGTAAAACTGTTACAGCAACCTAACCTCATTTAGGTTATGGAGTCAGCAGTATCCGGGTACCTACATTCAGCAGTGGTTAACCCCAAAGTTGGGTCTCTGCCTCTTGACTTTCTTCCTTCCTGAACTGCAGAATAAGCAGTGTTTAGCTGGGCGGATACTTACAGGATTTATATGTACTACATCTTGCACTTTTTACACAATATGAAAAGATTCTGCAAATCAGTCCTTAGTACTGTCAATACTGGGAATGCAGCTCTCCCTGCAGGGGGTCCTCCATACAAAGCAATGCTTACCCTACAGTGCTCTCTTTTCCTGGAAAGATAGGCGCTGAGAACCGTCTCTGATCAGAGAATCCACACCCAGTGCGGCTATTCTTTGAACCAGCAACGAATTCCAGGTGTATGGCAAATTATTCTCAGTGACTTCTGGGTAGAGGAGCGCTCTCAAGCCCCAGGTATCCTCTAATGCCTCCCAAATCTCCCCTCCAAATAGTGCTCTATTTGGAAGTCAGGGGACCGAGCGATACATGCTTAAGGATTGACCGGCCTCGGTACTGTCCCAATCCGAGGAACACTCCCAGAGTATGTCCCGGTCAGGCACACAATGTGTAAAACAAGTCCAATTGATACTGGACTTGTTGGATAGCTCAATAAGCATCCAGGACCCCTGCCCACAGTGACAGTAGTCCCTGTGTAGGGGCTGTTTGGACAGGCCCATAGTCTGTGGGCAAGTGGCTGGCCTTCAAACTTCTCCAAAAGCCTCTGGCATGGGAGTTTCTGTCACAGACTGATGGCAATATTTTATGCATAACACATATATCCAATTATTAAACCCAGCATTTTAACTCTACTGTATATTGTAGAGAGCAAGGCTAATCAACACCAACACGCTGTAGTAGCGATACATACTACCAATCCAAATCCTCATCTGTGTGCAATTAAATGCTAAAGCTACAATTGTATCACTGTACACCATTGGATATCCCAACTAGTGGTGAATTACTGTTCCAATCTTTTGATCGCTAATGGTAGGATCTAATTATCAGCTGCTACTTTGGTTATGCTTTCACTAGACTGTACAGCTAGCACAATTTTATCTGTCTACGTATTCAGAGAAATATTTCGTATAGTACAGATTAATTATTATAAATCACAAGTCCACATATCTGGACAACGGGCAGACTAAATATACCGGTATAGTGACAGATTTAGTAGTTTGTAAATAAGAACCCTACTTGAACAAGTTGAAAATGATAAAACCAGGGAAACCTCTGCCGAAATCCCAGTCATGCTGTGGGGATTTTTCCATTTTTTTTTTTTACCCCAATTAACCAATTGTGTTGTGGTTACAAAGATGCATTGTTTTTCTGCCTCTCATCCAACACTGGCCATAACATTCCTCTTTTCTCTTACAGTGGATACTTGGATTCGTCATGTTCTTTGTGCCGGAAGTAGGTTTTACATACAAGGCCAAATTTAAGCCGATGCACGTCTTCGTTGGTTTATCCCTTTTGGTTTGTGCCATAGCTACATGCCTACTTGGCTTAACGGAAAAACTGCTCTTCTCAATCCCGTGAGTACCCACAGATATACATAGATACATAACCCATTTTATTATTCAGGCAACATTTAAATGTGTTGACTTACTCCCAGGGCAACACGCCTCGGCCTGATAACCTTTGGAGTCCCACTAGCTGTTGGGTCAGTTCACTACTTTTTGTTTAGAGTAAGTGTAGATTTCAATTTGAAACAAGGGAAATTACCTTCCATTAAGATTATTTTAATAATAAAAGGATGGAAAAAAAACCTTTAGAGACCATTTATCCCCAGCATGTCCTGATACCTGAAGTTTTTTTTTTGTTTTGTTTTTTAAACCATCATTGCTTAAAGGGACAGTGTAGGCACTCAGACTCCAGACCACTTCACTGAAGTGGTCTGGGAGCTGTGACCCTTTTGCACCTAGTGCTGCAATATATAACATTGCAGTTCCAAAAAACTGCTCTCAGTGGCAGTCTACCAGACAGCCATTGGGGGCACTTCCGGAATCCAAACAGACTTTTGGTCCGTTAGCTGATGCTGGACGGTCTCACGCTCTGCATGAGGACCTCCAGCGTCAGATTTTCCCTATATGAAAGCATTGGATAATGCTTTCCTATGGGGAGGTCTAATGCCATTGCCGCACATGGCATTAGCTCCCCAAGTTCTGTCAGGAAGGTATTCATAAAAAGAGGCAGCCCAGGCACCATAACCACTACAAACCTTTTTGTTTTGTCAAATTGTTCAAGAATATGCACTTGGAGCCATCTATCCCAAAACCACTATAATGGGCTGCAGTGGTTATAGTGCCAGGAGTGTCCTGTCACTATTTAAGGCAAAGTAGTCAAAGCATTTTAGTGCTGTTTGACAACTTACCTGGGTCTCTTAGCGGCCCATGCAGTATTTGTTATTCTCCTGAGCGCAATCCTAGGACAGTGTGCGCCCGACAGTACCCTGGGAAGTTATCAAACCACACTATAATGGCTTACCTTCTTAATATGGGGTATTAACCATATAACAGGATGTAGGGTTGATGGTGCATGAAGTGTTCCTTATCTTTTTGTAGCAGTAGGTGGCTTTGTGGATGTCAGATTTATTTTTTATTATTATTATAGAAAGCCATCTATCATTTACAATTTTTTGTTTCTGTCACTTTTCAGTATTTCATAAACATATCTTTAATAAAAATAGAAAAATTAATTAAAAAAAATGGTGCTGCAGTAGAAACCAACATTTATACAGAATCCAGATTAAGTAACAGAACACACACAAACATACAGTATTAAGTTTTACAAGGATTTAATCTTAATGAAATGTAACGTTGGATTACTTTGTCAACCCCAGGCTTTGCCATAAGACAAACAGCAGAGTTCCTCTGTCAGCTTTTGTCCAGCACCAGCAGCCATCATTTCTGACAGGATCCTCCACAGACCCAAGTGTTGTACTCTGGCGCATGCACGAGGATATAGCACGGATGTGTCTGCTACTGATAGGGACAGGTGGAGTTAAGTAAAGCTCTCCTCCTCTGCACCCCGTGGCCACGGATCCACATCATTTGTCCTTTTTCTGAGGAGGGGATGCAAAATATACAAAGACCCCGAAAAAGACAGATCCTTTTTAAAGGGATCCTATAGTGCCAAAGCCATTTTCCTGGCAATATAAGGTTAATACGCCCCATCCCGCGGGGCTTAAGGGGTTAACCAGTCAGCCGGCAGGGAAGATCTAATACGCATGCACGGCAATGGTCGCGTACTCATTATCCAGTGCTTTCCTCAGAGGAAAATCTGACACTGGAGGTCCATGAAGACTTCCAGCATCAGATAACGGACCAAAGGTCTGTTTGGATTCCGGAAGCCCTCTAGTGAGGGCATACTTAGCGCCGCAATGTAAACATTGTTTTACATTGCAGCACCCACACTACTTCAATTAGCTGCAGTGGTCTGGGTGCCTACAGTGTCCCTTTAACCACCCTACCATATATATTACACTTTTTTTTTTTTTATTGTATTTATTAAGGGGTGTTCTAGCTTGAGGTGTAAGCATCCCTTTAAGTATGTCATTTCTAGTAATGTGTTATTTAAACCGTTTATATGAAAGTTCCTGTTCTGCTATTTCCATGATGCATTACCTTTATAACTAAATAGAGTCATTGCAAAGACAATCGATTTGAAAATTCCTGGGTATTAAAAGGTTAAATGATCTAGTAAAATAAAGAGATTGGTGTACCTTTTTTTTTTCTTCACATGCAATGGCGCTCTGTTAATGATACCATTGTTATGAGAAGGTGCCGCTCGACCTACAAAAAACCTGGGTTTGAATTAACTCAAACCACACACACAAAGCTGACGTGTCCTTTCAATGGATATGCGCTTGGTTGAACCGGTTACTGTGTATTTAATTGCTCTCTCCTGGTACAGTAGTTTTATGGAATTAAATAACAGAGGGGCACTGGCTGCTAAGAATTTAAAGTGACACCCTAGTCTAGCTGGCCTGTTGTAGTTAACATACTATAGAAACAGCATTAAAATATGCAAAGAAAATGAAAAAAAGGACATATTTGAAGTAACTACATTTCCTAAAATGACGTGCAGAATCTCCAGTGAGTGCCCGCATTGGCTGCTGGTCAAATAACTTTCTACAGAGCTACACGGCAATGCTTTATTGGCACAGCAAAGATTTCTGGGAGTTGTAGTTCATTTGTTAGCTTTCTACTGTAACGTGTACATCAGTCGTTTTGGAGCAAAAAGGAAACCCTGCAACATGTTTATATAGAACAAATATGCATTGATCAATAAATAGTCTTTATAACAGTTCCTTATGCTATGCTGCTTTAATTATTAATGTTAAAAATCTAGAGCAGGGTATTAACCTCCAGGACAGCACATAGATCAAAGCTTTGTAAATATATCAAGCCTCTTGTAGCTTGTTTGGCACTTAAAATGGAACAGTCATGCGTGACTTGTGATTTGTGCAGAACCCGATCACTAACTAACAGTTGAGCTTTAGTTTTTAATGCTTAATCCCAAAAGGATCAACAGCTATTTAGTCTGTAATAACAAACCAACCTTTAAAGGGTCAGTCTAAGCACCACAACCAATTTAGCAGAATGATGTGCTTCTGGTGTATGGATCGTGTTCCTGCAGTCTCACAGTTGGTCTGAGAGAAGTAGATTGACCCAACATAGCTGCTCTCCCCATTTCTTTCCTTCCCCCTCTCTGCCTCGTTCTTCCCCTGTGTGTGTCTATTCTTCCCTCTTCCCCTGTGTCTCTTTCTCCACCTCTTCCCTGCCTTGTGTCTCTCTCTCTTCCCTTTCTGTCTCTTGCTTCCCCCTCCCATTTACCAATAGAAGTCAGAGGGGGCCGGCCGCGTTCCATGCTGGTGCCACTGGGTGGCCGCCTAGCCGTTCCGGCAGCACACTCACTAATGCTGACAGCATAGAAGGACTGAAGGAGGGAGCATGTCTCTATCATGTTCCCTCACGGTTCCCACAATTCCAGTATGATGTGGCTGTGCTGGGAATTGTGGGAGCCGCGAGGGAGCATGATAGAGAGAAATGCTCCCTCCTCCAGTCCGGTAGGGGAGGAGCGGAGCAGAGCCAGCGTCGAGGGACATCAGAGCTGGACCCAGGTAAGTGACAAGGGCCTTAACCCCTTAAGGACCAAACTTCTGGAATAAAAGGGAATAATGACATGTCACACACGTCATGTGTCCTTAAGGGGCTAAAGGGGGAAGCTATATTCTCCTGAATGGCAGAGAATTGAGCAGTGAGACTGCATGGGCATGATCTATGCGCCAAAACTCTGTTAAGCTGTTAAGTTGTTTTGGTGCTTAGTGCCCCTAACCAATTTTGGCTTTGTATTTAGTGCACCCAAAGATATATATATATAATCTCTAATACAAATGCTTAATATGGCTGGAATACCATGAAACATTATATTCTCAGAATATAAAATATTCTAAATCAAAAGTAGATTTTACAAGATAAAAACCAAATATAAAAAAAAAATGCCAGTTTTCCTGATACAAATGTGAACATAATTACTGCTAAACACAAGTACTTCAAAATATATTCATATATTTGCCCTGATTTATCGTTTTGTATGCCCTACTTTATAGGTCACACATTATAAGGAGCACAATGTGGTTTTAAGACTTTCATTTTTCAGAAATTGGTTTGGTACTGGGGTTTTAAACTAAGGAGAGGAATTTAGACACTTGGCTATCTTTAAAACAAATTTAAAGGTTTGTAGGTTTTTGTCTTCCAGTAAATTTGATGTTACTTGCAGTTAAAGTAAAAAATTAAATAAATGTGCAGCAAGATTGCATGAACGTAGAATACTTGTGTGTATAATACAATACCGTGGTGATCCCAGAACAAGAATTCTATATCTCTGCTATGTTAGTCTAAAATGTTAAGTTCCCAATGTAATTACCCACAATTCTCAGTTTAATGAATACATCTGTTAAAGGACTGATATTTACCCCTCAAGGCTACCAGAAGTGGCAGAACCCCACACCTTTAGATAGTGTGTGAAATGTGATAGCATTGTTTTAAAGACAGTCCAATCTTAAACACACATAAGCAAATTCACTGTTTCTATTTCTATGTGTAAATGTGATATTTCATATAATGCCTCTCTATTGCAGAAAGGACTACTCGAAAATGCCACCAGAGGGCATTCTTGCAAACACTTTGGGCTTGCTACTAGTTGCGTTTGGCATAGTCGTTGGCTATATTCTGACTCGAGACGAGTGGAGGCGTCAGCCACTTCCAGAGGAACAAGCTCTCTCCATTGATTTTAAGACGTTGACTGAGGGAGAGAGCCCGTGTGAGCCGTGATATTCCTATTGAAGCAGAGCTAAGACCCATCTTCCGCTTTCCCTCAGACAATATTTGTGATTGTAATGTGATTCTTGCTGTGGCTGGTGGCTTTGTCAATGTAAGATAACGGGTTTGTAACAGGGTGTAAGAGTGTGTATCTACATTGGACTACAGGAAAGTGCAGCTCCAATAACAGACAACTACATACAGCGAATCCTTGACACTATATAATTTATTATCATCATACAGCCCTGTTAGCTAGCAAGAGCCTAAAGCGACTTTTATCGAAAACAAAAAAGTTTTTTTCGCTAAACCGTTAATTCCAGGAAATTCACTATATTTAAGCCAAAATAGAAAGGACAACAATTTATTTCCAGTCCTGCAAGTCTGGCCTATATTTCTGTAAGTCCGCACAAGAAATGGTTTAGTAAATCAATCCTATATCGAATGCCGTAGCAGGGGTGTGTCTTTCATGCAAATCACAGGTTTACTTAAGCTTTTAGTTTTTTGAACTGGAACAGTAATATTACTTATTCTGCAGTATCCTGCCCAAGGCCCATAACAAACTGCACAGCCCTCTTAACAACCAAAAAGAGCCAAGTGGTTCATATAATCTTTGGCTAATGGGATGTATTTAGGGATGCCATATCCATATTTTAGAGGACACATTTCTTTCACTCTTATAAATTGATGGGCATATAGAAATAGCCGTTCTGTATGTGTAGAAGTCAAATAATTCGGGTAGTAAAGCAGGTGATAAATCGATCCGGAATTCTGCATTTTACAAGGTAGTATTTTAATTTGCCTCAAATCAACATGATAAAGTTATGGATGGATATGACAACTCTAGACGTTGTTTTAATGCATCCTACTTTAAGGCAGACATCACTTGTGGCCATAATTTGATAGATTTGCATCATCCTTTTAACATGTCTACAAAATGTACTGATAGATTTGCATCATCCTTTTAACATGTCTACACAATGTACTACATTCCTAGGTGGAGATGTAAAGCATTTACTGCTAGTTTTTTTTTTTCTCCTAGATATAAGAAAGTATACTTTATTTTTATTATTTCTGTAAATAAATTGAGGCCTTTATCAGGCACCACATTTAATATTTTGAGATAAACATTTACATTTGTTTTATTTAAAATATCAAATATATATAAAATATCAATATTAAATTATTTTCAAAATATTAAATAGTTTTAAAAAGCATATCAAAAAATATAGGCCTTAATTTGTTTGTTAAAAAGGGAATTTATTTAAAAATATAGCCAGTGTCAAATCATTCACTCCAAAGCAGCTAAAAGAGATGCAATGTTCTGTTAGGGCTAAGTACATTGTTAAAGGTTACTCCAACCACCATGACCACTTAAGTCGTAGAAGTCAGTATGTGCAGTGTTTCTGTAACCATTTTTTGTTATAGAAAACATGCCTCCCTTTTCGGCATAAAGTGTGCGCATGCACTCTGAGCTGGCGTAATGGACCAATCAGAGGCTTCTCTATGAGAAGCCTGTGATTGGACTGTGCAAAGCCCCAGTGACGTTGAAGGAGGCGTGGATTCCATGTACCTTAAACTCTTTATTTTGCAGGTTTTATTTCAAATGGGAGGATTTCTCAATAGTGCCCCCCGCCCTCCAAAAATGGTTGGAGTACCCCTTTAACGCATTGTGCACCTGCAAAAAACCTTGTAACAATAAAAGCTGCCTGTGAGTGAGTAAGAAACTGTTTGGTAATAGATGTATCTGTTGTGAGACTCTTTTCCAAAGAATGCTGTCTTTTTATTTTTTAAATACTCTGCTAAGTCTCTTGTTCTGTGTTGCACACAATCACAGCGCAGATTGTAGCTGACATACACTTTGGACTGAGGGACAATGTTCCATGCCAAGTAGGTTATGTGCCAAGTGTGTACACTGAATTTATGTTAATATTAAACATATTGTGATTGTAATACCTGCCTGTTTCGCTAATTTTTCCAACATTCATACTATATTGCACAGTAACATTGATTACATCAGAGCTGTTGTATAACCTAGAGGAATGCATTACGATACAAGGTGACAATGTGCAGAAAAATGTGATACTTATTTCTTGATAAAGGTCTAAACTGATTGAAATGCTATCATATGATGGTCATTATATTTCTGTTAAGGGATACTACGCACTATAACCACTACAGCCTGTTGTATTGGTTATGGTGGTAATAGCCTGCACCATCATTCACCGGTTATATGGCAAACCCTGATTGCCAACGTGGAGGCTAAACTTTATTAGCATGATCAAATTTGTTCATAATTAGATGGCAGAGATAGGCTGAATATTACGCTTAGTATAGTGAGGGGGCACCTCTGAGACCCCTGATTTTTGTCCAGTGGTTTGACCCAGAGTTGGTAGAATGTCATGCACAACCTAATGAAGCCATAACCTCTACAGCAGACCATGTTCTATAGAATGAAATACAATTTGAGGACACCACCAGCACTGAGTGGAAATTCTAATTCCATGTCACTTTCACATATAAGGCCAAAGTAGCTGAACTTGAAGTAGAGCAGACTTCAGCAGAATGTTTCCATTTACATTCTGCTACACAATACTTTTATCTTGTTTTAACAGCTTCATATAACCAGTGACAGTAAAACTAAGTTACTATAATAACGCAGGCCTATGAAGATCTCCACTTGCATACAACTATTCAGCATCATTTAAATGACCACTCTGGCACTATAACAACTTAATTGCAATGAAGTTGTTATGGTGGGAGTGGTTCGAGGTGCGGTCTTACCTTAAGTGGGTTAAATCATTAAATCAGTTCAATTTCAAACTTTGGAAGATGGCACCCAATTAAGTAAGACAGCGCCCTGGACCTCCTCCCATCATAACTTCCTTGAGATTAAGTTATGGCGCTTGGAATGTCCTTTTTTGGCCAACTGTCACCTGACTGATTTCAGCCGATCACAGTTACCCATTGCTGGAATTAATTGGTACAGCCAAGGAAGAGTAATTGCATCAAATAAAATTCTGAAAAAAAATTCCTTAACCCCTTAAGGACACGTGACATGTCATGATTCCCTTTTATTCCAGAAGTTTGGTCCTTTAGGGGTTAAATCATTTTGTAATACCTTAAGACAATTGCCTTTATGCGAACCCAGCTACCACATTTCCTGGGAGCCAATGCCATGCACCATGTAACATTTTATATTCACATACATATTGAAAAGAAATGAGACACAGTGGTTTGATTCCAAGTGTAATTAACCATTTATAAATAAGTACATTTTTTTCTTCCGTCCCATACAGTTTTCTTGTTGAATTTACAATTAAAGTCTGTATAGAGGGGCAGATTTGGGATGGAAGGAAAGATATTTCACATCTATCTCACATCTCACATGTACAGACAAGAAAAAAACGAGCAAGCAAATACAGCAGAAATGAAAAAAAAAGAAAAAACAGTTGTTGTGGAGGTGAGATGGGGGTCTTTTTAAATACCCCTGCACCTGGAGTGCATCCCCTCCGCCTCCTTCGTGGCCAGGCATCTGACATACATTGCTCCGCAGCGTAATACAGAATGCCCCGCTGGCTAAGGAGGAACGAGGAGCGGGAACAAAAATTATAAATCAACTTAGAAAGATTCTATTTTCCCATTTTGTTATTTACAAGTTATCACAATGCTCAAATCTGCTCCCACTGTCTCATCACCAAAGAGAAGGGGAGTGTGGGGGGGGTGGAGGGCAACCGTGGAAAACAAAAATTTGAAAGAAAACAAAAATAACCTCGTCCCCCACCACGATCTGAGCACTGCAATATATAAAAACAATGGTGGTGTTCTGTATATTAGTAAAGAGAACAGACCATGCATTAGATAGATACACTGTACAAAGAATAGTCCTTCTGACTTGGGGGACAATGAGGGCAACCTCACAAGGTACGTCCTGTCTTTCCAACATGTGCAATACAGCTGCAAAATGGAAGGGAAGTGGGGGTGAGAAGGGGGTCTTAGGATGGCAAACAGAAAGCAGGTAATCACAGCAAAGAGGTGGCAATGGAATGTAAAACAAGATCCTTAAAAAAAAACAAAAAAAAAAACACCCTAACACTGTGTTAGGGTTATGTTATAGTGCACTTTAGATGGATGGGGTTACCACTTCCTCAAAAGCATAGACAACCCATTGAGCTAGTCCCTTCACACATTTCAGATGTTGGCTAATTGTTAGATCAGCACAGTGGCCAAGAGAGACAGGAAGGTGGGGTTATGGTTATTGGGAGCAAAGGGGGTTCTCTTAGGGTCTACGGGGGGAATAGATCTCGTTAGTGCTACAGACAGCGATATCCCTGAACTATGACCCTCAAAAACCCAACAGGAAGGGCTTAACATTCACACACCATTTCAGACTTTCAGTATAAACACGCTCTGTTAAATGATCTGTTCCTGGCTGTGGGCAGATAACGGTAAATACACCTGAGAGAGTGGGTGTTTACAAACAACAAAACTTTGTCTCATTATTGTGCGTCTGTGTAAAAAAAATGATAATGCGCTAGTTGCAGGAGAGTTGATCGCCAATCCTTTGCTTTTTGTTTATGCTTTAAGTCTGGGCTACTCTAAACCACTTCATTTAGAACTATTGAGAAGCTCTAAATATGACCACTGCCAGAGCTGGGTATCAGCATTATACAGGGAAAATGTCTTCTCATGTGGATTCAGTCTTGACTCGTGTTTCACAAACCAGACCCCAACCTTGTAATGTAATAATCCAACAAGAAACCTACACAAGCCTGAACGCCAACCAACGACACGGGCAGTCCAGCGTGCTCAAGATCCACAGAGCCTACCTATCCAACACCAGGAGACACAACTGCAGAATACACAGTGCTTTAGTTAGGACTGCATTCTAGACTCAACGTCCCTGCTACTCATCGTAGATATGTCTCTCAAGGTGCAAACAGTTCGCAGTGAACTGGTACCAAGTGATGGGCAGTGATTTAGTACCTATATAAGATATACTGGCTTGAGAAAGATAAAATACCAGCGTGGCAAAGCGCCATCCAACAGAACAGCTAAAAAAAAAATTAAAAAACGAACAAGCTGCATAATAAAATGTACCGTGGCCATGACAATGTGTGGATGCAAAATATGTGGAATGCAAACGCTGTTTCAGGGAGGTAAAACAATATTAATATAAAGTTAATGCTTATTAGGCTTTTTTTTTTTTTTTTAATAACATCTTAATTCATTAACGGAACGGCCTAAAATATTTTTAGTATCAACGATAATGGACTTTAATGTTCTGGTGTGAGCAGGGTTAAATCTCCGTTCAAATACAAGTAATTTAGCAATTTGGAATAATACATGAATCTCTTAAATTTATTTTAAGTTTAATTGCACTGATGTGTAAAAATTATTATAAGCAAAATGTAAAAAAAAAATTAAAACATTTTATTCATACTTAACGTTGTGTTGGGTATACATATAGGATTTTTTAAAAGCCCTTTTTGTCCTTTAAAATCTATATATAATATGAATGGGTGTGAACACCTAACGAGAAACCCTTTAAATACCAGGAGAACAAACACATGGCACGCATTCTAGATTTTGTTTTGGTTCAGAAGTTAAACAATTACCTCGGTGCTTAAGGGATTAAAAAAATAATAATTTAAAGTTTTACATTAAGACATTAAAATCTATATATAATCTATCAAAGGATTATAAAACCATTCACACACAAACATTTTTTTTTTTTTTTAAATCAAAGGATGTTCAACAAATGCAACTATCGCACTGGAAGTCTATTCGTGATCTGTGTTGGCATTTGTATTCCTATAATGTTTTTTTAAAATAATTTAGATATCTAGAACGAGATATGTATGAATATATATAGGGTAGTTGATATTTTATTTTAATACTTGTGTGTATTGCCAATGATTTCAGAATGATTAGACATACATAATTTACTAAAGATATTTATTTATGGGTTTGTACTTGCTGGTCATGTTTATATTATAGATGCCACCATGTGGTGAAAAGGGCAACAACTTTAAAACAAGTTGCAAATACCCCAGTCCTATTTGTCATTATTTTACACCTCGGAATAATTTAGATGTGGTCAAATATGCATCTGACTTTTTTTTTTTTTTTTTTAATAGTGTCATAAACCTATAGCAGTCTAGTAGGTTTGTTTCTCATAATGAACATGTTTATAGTTGGAAATTTCCCTGTGCATTGCAAAATAATAATTGCTCCGTAGGAAAATAAAGTTGCACTTCTAAAATGCCACTGGAGTAAGCTGCTAAAATTCGTATTGGGACATGAAAAAAATAAAAATAAAAATTACATGCCATGTGGACATCCCAGTGCTTATCATCCAATCTCAACCTAAGCCATCACCAACATTACCACTTTTCTGCTCTAAATATATTTGATCAATTTCAAATTAATTAAGTAACTAGAAGCTGCATGAGATCCAAAACACAGAATAACCCTTTTTTTTTTGTGGACTGTGCATTTATAGCTGCCCATTACCCAAATTGATACTAATCACAGAGATCGACTCAACAAGAGATCCATAGACCGTTAATGTTTTGAGGCCACTCGACAGTTACTTCCCCCCTGAATTCCTCAAGGAATACAGACACACCAACCTATATACTCATAAATAAATTCAAAACTTGTCTTTCACCAAAAGTTTACAAAAGGCTAGAAGAATAGTGTGTGAAACTGGGTCAAGACTGAGCGAACTGAAATCGAAATATTAAACCTTAAAGTGAAGTGTACATTAAATAAACATCTAACTTTATGAAAAATAAGTGTGTCAGCTTTAAAATGTGAATGTACGTTTAAAGAGCCCTTTATTTTAAAAAACAAAATCAGGGTTCCCCCATTCTACTGAAGATGCCCTTAGTTTTGAGTCTTGTTAATAGCCACACAGTCTCTCTGTTCACACATAGAGGGTCTCACAAATAATCCACACAAGCATGCCAGAATATCTGCCAAGCCCCAAGCACACTGCCTGCAGAAGCTTTGTCAATAGGAGTTAATGATTCACTCCTAATAAATCCCTATAAAGTTGGATAGGAGGG